GAACACAAAGAAAGAGGATTAGAATACAATTACTTGAAAGATTTAAATAAATGACAACCTTAACTGTGCAACCATGCTCTATCCCAGACTTTTGTTGAAGCACCCAAGAGCTAAAGAGCTCCTCCAGATTCACTGAAACCTAACTCTAAACTGTACTGTGGTTTTAAACATCAGTAATGAGCTGGGAGGAAATGTGGGTGTGTTATTGTCTAATCATTAACATGCATAGTTCATTACTTTTCAACAAGTGGACTCACCTTTAGGCATATTCTCCAGACATCCCCTCAACACACTTGCAACAGTCTCAGCCACACTCCCTGTTGTGTTGTCTTCCAGACCTTTGGGAGCAACAACAGAGGGTGATTTAGCTTGGTGTGACATACAAGAAATGACTTTGCACTCCAGCTGTCACATCAAATCTCTCTATCATTCATGCACTTATTCAGTTTTCTTGTGTTTAATTTCACAGCTACATGTTAAAAGAGAGTAATATATATATGTTCAATTAATGCCAAATTAATGTTCAATGATTGTGCGTGTGTGAATCCAGGCTGGCGAACTTACATTCACTGCTGCTGCTGCAGCTCCCCAGACTCCCCCTGACGATCAGACGGATGGTATCTCGCGTCGTCGGGGACTGGCTCTCTGTTGCCAGGGCAACCGGGCTCTCGGCAGATGGTGGAAGTAGACTTCCATTCTGAGGTGGGAATCAGTGACGACAGGGCTTAGAATCTGCGAGTTTAGATCATCTCTTCCTACTATGACTCAGCGGTCACCCACAGATGCAAAGTGGCTGGCTTAAAGGTTAAAAATAAGTGCTTTTAGTTTGTTCTGAAACTGTGCTTGTTATAAAGTTTTGTACAGCATCAGAAAGACTCACTGGATTCTGAATATCTATATGGCTGTATGAAGTAAACAACTGCATCATTATGACCTACACTCTTGTAAATATACTTTTTTGTGCTAAATAATTGATCTCTTACCTCAGAAATCTTTTTGCTCTGTTGCTGGCTGATGACAGTTCTCTCCAGGTCGTGCTGCAGTTTGTAGATCTCCTCTTCCTCTTTGGTTAACTTATCTATCAAAGACAATAACAGCACACAAAAATCAGAACAATGCCTTTTTAACCAGCAGCTACATAAACTGACATCAGAACAGCTTGGTGTAAAATGTGACACATGCTTGCAATGATCTGAAAGAACTAGATTTAATGATGCTTCTAGTAGCAGCAGTAATTTGACAAAGTGGAAGATAACTGACTGGTGTGACAAGCGGCATAAGCGCCCAGTGGTAGAGCTAATACTCACTTAAAGTCTCGTAGTATTTGACCTTGTCTCTCTTCCCACCAAAGAGCGCAGCTGCAGCTTTCTTAAAGAAGCTCTTAGCGGGACTGGAGATGTGGAAATCTGGGGCCGAATGGCAACAGCTAGCCGGCAGACGCTCTGGACTGAAGCCCTGTAGAGAACGAAAGTGGGTCAGTGTGCGGCCGGTGGGAAGGGGGTCACTGTTATACTCCTACACTGTGACATTTTGAGAGAGACTGATAGAGAGTGGAACAGATATATCGAGAGGTGAAAATGGCGTCTAACCTGTGTGAAGAAATCATGCCTCAGAATGTGTTCCAGGTTGGGTCTGTCCTCTGGGATCTTGGCCAGCAGGCTGGCGATTAACTGCTTAGCCTGTGGTGACAGGGACGAGGGCAAGGAGTACCGCGCCTCTCTAATACACCTGTATGTCTCCTTCAGGTTGGTGGTTTCAAATGGTGGTCTGCCCAACAGCATGGTGTACCTGGAACAGGGCAGAGGTCAAACGTGAGTGAATTTCCATCACTAAAAATGTACTGATACACAAGTTTCCAAATGATTGGCAGCAAGACAAGTCCAAATTTCATGCCAATGTGCATTTTTAAATTTATGATATATGATTATATGATATTAGACTGTAATCAGTTAATAATTAATAATAACTATTAATATTACTAAACCTTATGAAGTTCCCTAATGATGAATTTACAGTTAGCTACTCACATTACACAGCCCAGGGCCCAGATGTCTGATTCGCAGCCGTGGCCCTGCTTGTTGAGCACCTCAGGGGACAGGTAGTTGGGAGTCCCACAGATCGTCTTCCTCCTGTTTCCCGCTGGCTCCAACTTGGCAGCAAGACCAAAGTCCCCGACCTTCAGCTCCATCGACTCGCTCACAAAGAAGTTACCTGTTGGGGAAGAAAGGGAATGAGATGATGATATTCAACCTAGGATCAAAGGCTGAATAGAGCATGGATCCTCTGATGAACTGATTAAAGAAAAACTAGAGGAGTAAGTGGGCTAGTATCAAAAAAATTATATCCTAGCTGCACAGAATGCATCTTTACGGTTGTGCACAAAGTGTCTCTGCAGTGTAATGTGTCACTGCTGCAAAGAGATTCCTTACCAAGTTTCAGGTCTCTGTGAAGGATTTCTTGTTCATGCAGGTACTTGAGTCCAGAGACAATCTGCCTTAGATAATAACGCACCTCTGGCTCAGTGAGCACCTTGCGAGCCTTAAGGATGTGGGCTAACGACTGTAAAAAGACAAAACATAGAGAGGAGAATGATTATCAAAGCTGCTTCCTGTAGCATAACATAAAAACACATTTTACTTCTTGAAAAAAAACTAACAATTGATATGATGGGTTTTATCACATAAAACTGTTATATGGGTCTGCAGTATCATAAAATGAATTAACAGGTTAGAGTTCTTTTATAGTGGGGGCAGGCTGAGTACTGCCTATGTGCTGCCTCATTGACTTTGGGTGCAATGCAGGTGTTCCAAATCCAAAATCCAAATTTGAAAGACAGCAGTGGCAAAGATGAAGTACAGTGGTTAAAAACTTGAGAATGTGACAAATAGCACTTACTTTTCTACTACAGTATTCCAACAGGATGTAGATGTTCTCCTTGTCCTCAAAATGGTGATAAAAGTGCACTATATGTTTATGGTGCAGTAATCTGTGCAGCTCAATCTCTCTGTCAATCTAGCGGGAGGGAAAAACAAAATGTTCACGATTGTAATTTAACCCAATTTTGTGACATTATGATGTTCAGTCGCACCAGTGCGCACAGGCACCGGAGCCGCAGGCTTACCTTCTCCCGTTGGTGAGGTTTGGAGACGCGCGCATGTGGGATGATTTTGGCTGCGTAAACTTTGCTGGTGGAGAGGTCGGTCATCTCATAGCATTTAGCGAATCCTCCCTGGAAAGAGGAAAAACACCGTTAACATGCTTTGCCTTCAGGTTATGAGGTAAATCCAAAAAGTCGACATCAGATTATTATGCTTGCGCTACCTTTCCCAAAACTTTTCCACGGCAGTAGCACTTCCCCGTGACAGGATCGGTGATTATCCTGGCCATCTCTGAGGGCGCACTACGCTCATCCACTCGTTTTCGGCGAGGTTCGCAGGACCTCTGCGTCGATTCACACATACTGCTGCTGTTTGTCTGTTGGGACCCGATACTTCTCTGTACTTCCATTAGACGTGCTCGCTCGTCCTGTACTCAGAATGTAGCCCGGAGAGTCCGTCTGTGAGCCTTTATACTCTGGCACCCACCCCACCCCGCTGTCTGCCGCCCTCTCTCTGACGTCACGGTGTGAAATGAGAGCATGAGGTCTGCCTGATATCGATTACCTTGCATGTACATAGGTGTTGATGATGGCACAGAGACATGAAATCAAAGGGGATAAAGCAGCGTGAGGATTGTGTTATCAAATATAATTCCAAGCATATTTGAGTATTAGCATCACCAGCCATAGACATAGATGTTCTGTAGTTTACATGTTTTACTCATTGAATCCAGGCAGGTGAATGGACCCTTTACATGTTTGGGCAAAATATAATTCAAGGTGATGAAACTCTGGTGCATCTGGCTGATAAAATATACACTATGCAGAGGGTACATGTTGTTTGTATTCTACTCAGGTTCATCTCATCCTGTGTTTTTGCACCAAACAGTTTGGAGCACTAGCACCCTCAGGTGGAGATTTTGGATATCATTTAGACTACAGTGACGGATGCAAATCTGTTCTCCATTTTAAACTATGTTTACCAAAGACTACGTGTATATTGTATTGCAATTGGACACTGACATGTGTGACTGTTTAGTGTGAATGGAAAAGAGTGGAACGGTTGGAGAGATGGCACATTTGTGTTCTAGTTAGCAGATGCAGGTATGAACTATGAACTACTGGAAAGATGACAGTGTCACCCTCCTGTTTACTGCAGATGCCACAGTAAGACAGTTTTAGTGATATGCACTAGAAAGCGCTCAGAGAGCACATTTCTCCACCATGGCACCACAATCCCTCTAAATATTTTATTCTAAGCAAATGTTTAGAAAATTGCAATCTGTATCTTTACCAAAATAACAATGCAGCTATACACTGTTCACAAGAAAGACAAGAAATAAATGTTAATAAAACCCTAATTCTTAACAAATGATTTTCAAAAGATCCTGATAAGAAAATCAAAAAAAAACAAATCACTTGTTCATTGGAAAATGGCCAAACATTCCAACAAATTTTATTAAAATCTCTTAAGTGCTAACAAACAAGTGGGTTGCACCTGTAAACATGGTTTTCAGACTAAAGTGCTTATCGCTCTATCGAGTTACATATTCCATATGAGCCACAAGGATCAGGTGATGCAGATAATTACAGTATTTTAAATCACCCCTGAGGTGGCCAAGTGGAACACAAAAGCATCCGTGTGCCCAAAAGCTCACTGGCTGGCCCAGAGACGCCACTGAGCTGCAGACATAGGAATTTTTTATGTTTATTTAAAAAACATAAAAAATGCCTAAGTATAACACAAGTTGGACAAAACTATTGAATAACAAACAAAAACAATGAACTTGTAGCAAGCTACTGAGGAGAGTTATTTGTCTTAATGTGGAAACACAATTATTTGTAGTGGAAGAGCCCTTAGAAAGAGAGCTAAAGCCATTGCCATATCTTAGACACTGGTGCATGATGCTATGGCGATGATAAGAATGAGAGAACAAAAAGTAACCCAGAGACTGTGATGTTTACACCACAGTGTTGGGTGCACATTTCAGGTGTGAGCGCACAGTGCTGATGTCATAAGCAAAACTCTCCTCAAGACCGGAGCCGACAGACGACTGGTGTGGCCAGTTGGGAAAAGGAAAACGACAAGCAATGACACGTGCATCATCAGGAAGCTCTTTCAGCAGCTTCTCACCCAGGACCCCCATCTGTAAACCAGTGCAAAATGGCTGAATCAGTCACTTAGCAATTAAATGTTATGTATGGCATAGGACTTATATATATTCTACGGGGGGTATAATTCTTCATAGAAGGAAAACTCACCACTCCTGGAGCAAGGAAAGCTGTCACATTGTTGTACAAAGATAAATCAGTCTATGAAAGAAGAGAGACATAAACATGGTCATACAACAACTTTGATCCGATTTAAGGACAGCAATACTTTTTGTTAAGGTCTTACCTTCCAGAAGTCTTTTTTAACAAAGGTGGCCTGGTTGGAGGGCACTCCTGTCCAGAGCGCCTTGCTCCTGGCATAGGCCACTAAAATGAAGTTAATCTCATACCCTGTGCACTGGAAACCAGCAGAAGAGGCCGCAAACACCTGGGAATCAAATGGAAGTGTGTAAAAATACAACAATGTGTAGCCTAAGAGTAGCAATAGAACACACAAGCATATACAACACAATCACATTTAACCTCCAGCATTGATACAAATCACAACACACCCAGTTTTTCAATCAGATTTCCAATCCTGTTTACAATTGAATATATAATTATAAAAAGACAGGTGCGGCTCACTAACCAGTCTTCCATCTCCTGATCCCAGATCTGCTAAGCGACCTGTTCGTCCCTCAAGCAGCTTCATAATGTTCAGTGTCTGATCTTTACTGGAGGGCAAATAAGGAACCTAGACCACAGTGCAAACACACATTATGTCAATACAAGTGACAGGTTGTACAGTAATTATTGTTAATATTATAAGTCTCTTTAATCTGTCTTTCCACTGAATGAGACTGAGAATCCTAGCTTGAAACACTACAGCAACATGAATCTCCTCTTTTCCACATAAACAAATCTTGATATGCTTCATATTAAATTTTCCTCTGCTTGTAATAGTCTCCTGAGTGCTGTGACTATAACCTTGAATCTAATCTCTCTTCAGAGGAATAGCTTCACAATGTCTGTTTGAATGACAAATATACCAAAGCTCACTCTTGTCTCTAGCTGTGGTAAACTGGGTATTAATCTTTGATAATGTACAGTTCCACTCTTCTCCTAGCATGACAAGTTTTATGAGAAACACAGATGGCATGATGAGTAAAGCAATGTATCATTATTCCAAGGAACACACAAGTCAGTGACATCATAAGTGCAAAGGCAATTACATTTTGATCAAATTCTTTAAGCAGTGATATTAACTTTTGCTTTAAAATTTCCGATTCTCAATGCAATAACAAATTTCTTCGTCATTACCTAACATCTGATAATCTGCTCCTGATCATCATGTTTTCTTGTTCATCTTGTACTGACAGTGAAGAAAAATAGTGCACAAGCCATTATTTTGCAAAAACCGATCTCTGCATGAAATCACTTCAGATTAATGCGCCATAGACGATGGTGCAGCTCTCCATAAAACATAATCAGTTATAGACTTACCATTTTTCTTCTTTTCCCACATTTGTTGCTAGCACAGAGCACTAAGCTCCAAAATAAGCAAATTATCGTTAATGTGCAAGTTAGGCTCTGTCTTCTTGGATTTCACACAAACATGCAGCACTTGACATTTGAAAGAGTGGAAAGAGGGAGGAGCAAAGCAGAAGGGTAAAAACAAAAAAAAAAAAAGGAAATCTCAAGCACCTTGAGCTTCCACGGGACTTTACGAAAGCCAGGTATTGCAAAGAGACTCCATACTCCATACAGGCCTGTGAGAAGAGCACCTGTGCAGGCTGTCAGTACAGGATGGGGTCTGTTGGTGGGAAGGACCTTGCCATGTTCCTGCAGAATCATCTCAATGGAGTCCTCCATCGCAAACTGTCACCAATATGGTTAAAAATACAGCGAATGAGGGGAGATATTACTGCAGCCTCTAGAAAAATCTATTCTGTATGGATATATCTCAAAAAAACAAACAAAAAACGTCTAATATCTATATCCAACAAAAAAAATGCTGGATTATTGAGCTCATGAAGAAAACCAATGACTGAGTTGTGCTCATTGATGGCTGTTTCTCACTGTTTCACTGTTTGGAGAAACAGTAGACCACGCCAGCATCCTACATGTCAGCCAAAACCAGTATTGGCCATTATGTTGGCCCGAGTCCTAAAATGTTCCCTGGATACACAAGACAGACTGTAGTGTTTTTGGTCAGATGGTTTTGTAAAGAAATCAGCTACCAGTTAAGAATAACTTTCCTAATGTCTGTGCTTTTAGGGAAAATAAATTTTTCATAGGTCTTCAAAGAATCCAGTCTATAAAAGTAATTCACTAAAAGTTTGAAGGTAGCCTATATTATTTTAAACGCCATAATCTGCATTAACTGTTGAATTTCATTTAGAAAACAGTGACATTAAAACAGGGTAAAATTGCTCAGGATAAAAATAACTTTGTCACTCATTACCACGAGGCAACAAGAGTTAGCGGCCAAGAGCAAAAGATCACCAGAGAACCCCTTCCAACAGCAGATGGTGCTACGGTGGTTTCCTCATGCATAAACCTTCTAGAAAAGTTTTGTTTTGCACGCTGGGGTCATGCACATGTATTTGAAACAACAGCTCGGTCTATTAATCAGACCAAGAAATTTTGCTGGACAAGAGGAGCTCTATCAGATAAAACCGAACTGAAGTAGCGTCAGACACGCTAACAAACATTTCGCTAGGATGTTTGGCTCTGGATGAAGTCGGTGCAAAACATTCAAAATTGAACGAACGAGTGAATAAATAACATTATTGAGAGCGAGATACATATATATATATATATCGAACATTTTTGGTACATTTGTGAAGTTATAACACAAAATCTTGACGTCTGTAGAGACAGACACGTTTGTGCAGCCTACCTTACCCGCCCCCTCGTCTACTGCGCACTCAGCAGCCTGCACACACATATATACACACACACACACACACACACACACACAGGTCCTCCTGTCAAAGGGCAGTCAGTCAGTCCGCTCCAAATCCCGCCCAGTAACTGCATACACGCCCTATCAGGTGTCTGCTAACTGGCTGACACAACGCCTGACAGCCACAGTCAGGATTTCTATCTACCTTGTACCACGGTTATGTAATATCTGTTGTGTCTGGTGCTGTGGTGGTTCTTAACGCATGCTGGACTATTATAAGCAATGTTGGCTTCAGGCGTAAAATGAGTAATAGGAGCTAGTTAGCCTATTTGAGGGCTACAGATACAGGAAAATGCATAACAGTTGCTGATATGAGCCTCACTCACTACAGTTGCACCTCTCAAAATAATTATGGAGGTTTTATAATCCGCCTAAAAGAGGGACCGATGAGATTACAATTGGAAAGATGTCAATGTCTTTCACTTCCGCTGCGGCCTCATGCTGCTCTTGCTCCCATTGAAAGGCCCGTAATAATAATATTCATCAGCACTCAGGCCGCTCTTGTTTGCTCAGCCGCTTGTTCTCTGAAGCGAAGAGCAGGCTGCATGGGCGGGTGGGTCGGCAGCAAGACCGACCGAGAGTGACGCAAAAGGAGAGGCTATTATATTTGCTTCCTGAAAAAAGATAATAATTCATGCTGCCCAGCTGGGAGTTTGTTTGCTACTGGAGTGAATTTTAAAACAAACAGGTGAAATTTTGCTGTGGATAAAATGGATTTATATGGGAAGGTAAGATGTTTGATTTTACTATAAGGCTATGGAGAGAGGGAGATATATGTATAGGCTATACATGGGCTAAATTATACAGCCATAACATGACCATACCATGGTTTTTATTAAAGAGACTGAACACTGAGAGGCTGAACAAAGGTTTACAGCTTTGCTACATGTAGTGTGTCTCTTGCTTGATAGGGAGCGCGTCTACGGTTTGATGCTTGTTAAAAAAACTACAAAGGGTTTTTTTCCTGCGCTTCCACAGTAAATCATACAGCTGTTGACAGCTGGGACGCGTTGCATGCTGAGTAATGTAGTCCAATCTGTACTTTTGACATCGTCCTCTGCCCTGCACTGATACCCTGCAAAAACTACATCCCCCATATTCTTGACCCCCCTACCCCCACCTCACACTGTGACGTCAAGGACACTCACGAAACGCACTTTCCTTTGCTCGTGCTCATCTCACGCGAGCCAGGCTCGTCAACTCAGGGGCGCGTGCCAGATCCGAAGCGGAGGGGACAGCTCCCAGGTGCTGAAATTGGTCGGCGCTCCAAAGAGAGACAGAGAGACAGAGGGGGGAAGAAGATCAACGCCTGCATTTGACACAAACATAAAAACCGTATTCTGCAGAACAGGGGCAGATACAGGTAGAACCGAGGCCTTCAAAACAGGTTTGTTAAAACAACGTCCTCAACGCGTTTATGTGGTTTTGTGTTGTAGTTACGTGGAAGAATTTCATCAATAGATAAAATGACCTCCTGCCCAGATTCTCTTGTCGAACATTATCCGGCTGCAGCTCCCTGCTCATCGTGTGATTTTAGATCAGGTTGACTGTTTTTTTTATTGTGGTGTGAGAATATCAGCATTGCACTGATATTTCAAAAGCGGTGTCCTTGCAAATTCTGCCTCAGTGGTGTATTTTTTTGACACACGGAAGCGAACAGTAACCCAATGCAGGATGTGCAGGATGGAGGTCCGGCATCTTTTCTAACTGCATAGGCTGCAGGGAGAGCTTGGCTGCACATGTATGGCATATAAGCGCAGTGGCTTTGTCAAAACATTCACCTTGGAGCAAAGATGACTGTGCTCTTGTCATCCTGCGCGTAGTACTCTTGTCCTCTTAGGTCGGTGTCTGCTGACAGCCTGCACAGAAATGTTCAGTGTAGATGCGCTGTAAAGGTGAAAGAATCATTACCATTACATTACCATGTCCTTTGTATAACTGAGCTTTAGCAGTTCTAATATGGACGCAGATTCCATGTCTGGTGAAATTTTAATGTTTTTCTAGTGGTTAATGTCAAATCAAAACACCACAGTCTCTGGACTATTAATAGTCAAGTATGAATTGGAACAAAAGAGTGTTTGACATGTTTTTGTCCAATACAATATAGGAAAATAAAAAGCAATATTTGCCCAGCACATGAAAATACTGATGAGTTAAATGTTGCTTTTTAAGTTATAACAGTGAAAGCATAAATAATCATAATCCTCTAATTTCCTTATAGGAATCATTTTGAAAAAAAAATGACTGAAGAGAAGACAAACTCAGCTTTTTAAAATCCTGCTTCTCTAATACTCATCAATACAACAGCTTGCTGTGTTGGTCATGCTGGTTTGCCTGACACAGCCTTCTGTCACCTCTGATCTGTGACCTATACAACAAGCTTGTACCTCTGTGTGCAACATTTGTAGTGCTTTATCTCTCTCTTTTTTTTATAATGTGTTTAACATTTGGGTGCATATGTTTTGTGTGTTGCAGCTCTGAAAAAGCTTCACATTAGCTCAAGGTGAAGCTCTTTATGCATTCATTTCTTTTTGTTTCTGCAGATGGCTGCTACTCAGGATGTGAAAGGGAAGGGAGAGGGAGGGGACCAAAACTTTGACTACATGTTCAAGTTGCTGATCATTGGCAACAGCAGCGTGGGCAAAACGTCTTTCCTGTTCCGCTATGCCGATGACGCCTTCACCTCGGCCTTCGTCAGCACAGTAGGCATCGACTTCAAAGTGAAGACTGTGTACAAGAATGACAAGAGGATCAAACTGCAGATCTGGGTATGAAATATTAACATCCAAGCATTAGACATTTAGATGTGTGCCACAAAATGTTTGATCCCTGAACAAACCAGATAAAAGTGGAAGTGGAATATAGCTATCAAAGGTGTGTTATTTCTGCTCATCCTGCACCCCTTGGCTGGAGAACATGATAACAACTTGCCTACTGTTAAACTTGAAAAGCCTGTTTTAGCCACATAAACACATACATTTAGAAAGCTAAACCCTTCATAGGATTTGCATATGATCTAATGATGGTAAAGGAAGAAAACATGTTTCTACAAAGCAGCAACGCACAGAAAGCCACAGTTTCTCCTTTACATTTACATTTACTCATTTGGCAGACACTTTTATCCAAAGCAATTTCCAAGTGAGGGACATGTCATCCCAATCATGCACACATTTCTGCTCAATTCAGTCAAATCCAGAACATTTGCACGTTGAAAGATGGCTCATGTCTGGAGGAAATCTGTTTTCTGTAGTCCTCCAAGGTCTCCTGGAGGACTACCTAAGCTCTAAGGGGGAAGGGACTCTTCAGAAATGCCCTGCCCCCTTGTTTCTCTTGTTTTCTCCATCTTTGTGTTCCTGCAGAGTGACTGCTGTCTATAAAAGCCTGTCAATCTATGCCCAGAGCCCACTTTCCCCTGACCTCTGCCCATATCTTTCTCTGTTGATCAATACGTTTCAAGGACTGTGACAGGTTGCGACTTAATTGCTGTGCGCTTGGCCATACAAAAAAAGTCCTGCGCACATGGGATCACCTATGCATTAATCCAATTTTGTTTTGGCTCTCAGGATGGATCATGCTCGCTTGGTATGCATGGACAAACCTCCCTTTTCATCTCTTGTTACAGAAAAGCTTTGCATCATGTTATATATACTTAAATCAAAGTGAAGCTAATCCAACTTCTTTTACCATGTGAGCTTCGTAGGTATAGATAGAGTTGATGATTTCACTTATAAAGGATTTTTTTCACTATCCTAATCAGGCAATTTTATAATATTAGTGTTTTAATCTCAACACTCAATCTGAAACAAGAATATGTTTAGTGTATTTTTCCTTTAGCCTTATGTGTGGCACATCAGCTGCATGCTTAATTAATTGAAGAAAGCTTCAGGAAAGGCTCTATTGTGTTTTCTCGGTTTAAAAGTCAGCGATGTAAGGACGGAGACAGATGGAAGTCTCAACATTGCTGACAGGAGACTAGTAAGTGTTAGTTTGGCACATAGTGGGGAAGATCACAGAAGCAACACCTTCCTCAGAATGTGTGGGAAACTGAAGAATGTCTGAGGCTTTTTAATTAGGAGTTCATCTGAGCTGTTGAGGCAGTTTGTCTTGTAATACCTCTGAGATATTGGGGGTGGGGGGTTATTTTAGATAGATAGATCTTTCTCTCTATTCCTTTCTATTTTTTCCTGTCAGTCTTTCTCTCTTTCTTTCCCTTAGAGGGTTTCCTCTCTGTTGTTATAATAGTTGTCTTTTGCCACAATTAGCCATCCCCAGACATTTGATGTTTGCTAATCACATAAAGATGTGATGAGTGAGTTTGAACAGTCAAATGACTAGGCTAATCAGGATAATGTGTTTTGATCATTAGCAAAGACAAGCATATTCAGAGAGAAAAGGGAATGCCCTTGCATCCAGTTAATTGGCCTGTCTTTTTTAATTGGGCTCAGAGAGAGCTGAGACTTACAGTAAGTGGCCATTTAAGGTGATGGCTATTGGCTAATGTCACTGTGCTAGTCACACCATTAATCTGCTGAGAGATAAAAGCGTCATAATGCATCATAGTGCTGTCCCTGTTGTCATATTAGACTGAAGTGAATGAAACACAGTGAAGCGTGTTGCCTAGATGAACCTTATGAAAAACTGAAGAGTCCTGGCAATTGTCAGCCTTCGCTCACTACCGCTCCACTTGAGCTAGTCAGCTTCCTGGATTGATTTCTGGTGAGCTGTGGACTACAAGAAAAGCGTTTCAAGGAGCTCCAATTTTCAGGACTCAGCTGTTTTTTTTCCCCCATCCTGCTTTGTCTTTTTAGCTGAGAACTGGCAAAGCAACTCACAAGAATAGCCTGAATATGCAAAGGTCATTGTCAAGCACTCCGTCAAGAATCAATAGGTGACTAAAATGTCCATAAGTTACAGTTCAGACGGATATGAAGCTGTCATTCAGATGACCGGAACATATTATCATCATGA